AGGGAAAAAAATACAACAGAAACAGCATCCTCATAATGGGTTGAAAATCCATGATGTGAAGAAGCCCAACGTTGGGTTTTTACAGCGGGGAAGAATCCAGCTCATGTATGAAATAATCAATTGTAATTCTGTTGTGAGAATTTGATGAGATTAACCTCCATTCTTGACAAATCTGCACCATAATGGCTCCTGGTGTTAAACCACACTGACTTTTATAGTGGAACTCATGGCTGAAGGGAGGTGAAATAAATTACATCAGTTTGGCTTCTCCCAGAGGCAGCAGGTGATGAAGTAACACATGACCAAATAAATAAACATCAGGCTCTTATGTCACTTCTTCTGTGTGTGGCAGAAGGAGAATTTCAGTCAGAGTTGATGAATCGATACAGGGAGTGAACATCTTGGTGTGAACAGTGAGGAGAAAGAATGTTTAAATCAGATTTATAGACGTTTTCTTAACACTCATAGACTAGTTGTACTCTTCGGTGTTATCACAAAAAAGGAGAAAACAGTGAATTTTCGTGACTGGCCTGTTCTTAATTTTGAAATGTTCTTCTCGCTCGGGGGAGGCAGGAAGCCGAGCACCACAGCCTCATGTTTCTGACATGTGCTCTTGACATTAGCCGGTCTCCTCAGTAGAGGAAGGCACTCATTTCTGCACGCACCCAACCACAGGATCGGTATTATCCACAAGAGCCTCACGGTGTGGTGTTATTCCAGTCAGCAGAAACCCTGGTTTTACACCAACGTTGGCTGATTCCAGTGGTAGATTAATATTCAGGCTCAGTCATGCACCTTCTTTCTCATAAACAACAGTCTCCACTAATTAAAGTCCAACGATCAGACTCCAGAAGTGAGAGATTGGAATTGAGCGTTTGCCCCACATAACCAGCCCTATCCCACATCCTGCTGCCTGGATGGCCTGGAGGCCTAATCCAGCCCGGCCAGGCTATTTCCACACCATTGATTCTGTCATCTATACGCATGATGGATAACCACCTAACAAGCACTGGGTTCTTCTCGTCCAGAGCTCTGGGTTTCTCTCAGTCTCCAGCAATGATTGTTTCCTCAAATGTATTTTAAGGTAAAAGAAAGAGAAATGAAACGTTTTTGTCAGTGCAGAATAATTCAGGCACTTGATAAGACTGTGGAGTCGAATGAGCCTCAGATGATACAAAGTCTCTCGTCTGTAACAGAGTTCATATCAATGTAGAGCAGGCACGAGCAAACTACGGCCCGGGGTCCAGATGTGGCCCGTTGAACTTTTTAATCCAGCCCGTCAAACTTTACCAAATTATATAATTATGATTATACCTCTGCCTTTTCCCTGCCATACCCACGTTTCCCCAATAGGAGGCGTAGAAAATGTGACTATACAACCTTTTTAGTTTACTACAGAGTAACATAATATTTTATTTGTTTGGTCTCCAATCATTTGATGATTGGTTCTGGTTGATTGGATGAAGGTTTTGAACTAGTTCAACCACCTGGGGGTCATTTTGGTTTCCTTCTGAACACGACCAAACAAGTGTGTGTGTTTTCTAGACAACGTGTGTGTTAAAATGATTGTGTGTGGGTCCGTGCCAGAGACTGATGTTGCCCCATGGTTTGATTCTCAGATGATCGGCGAATCACACGTACCTGATTCTGTTGCTTCACGTTTTAGCTCCCTGATACATGGCTTTATCGCCCTCCATCGATTTGAAATCTGTTTCATTTCCACCCCCAGGGAATCTCTGCAGCCATCCTTACTAAGTGCACGCGAGATGGAGGATTTATACCTGTCAATAAAAACCTTTGGTAAGTGCTTCCTGACCCTCTAAATCCAGCCACTTTTCCTCACAAAAGAAAGAATGGGTTTCCAGCAGGCACAAATCAGAGCAGCTAAAACACACGTTTACTTACCTCTTACAACAGCTCTGACTGTAAATAATCACCAAGGCTGTCGGGAGTGTGAGGTGGAGAGGATATACAGCCTCCCAACATGATCACTCCCTACAGTTGGCAGACCTGGAGATACTTTATATTATTTTTTCCCCTCAGAAACACTTTTGTTTCCAGACCTGGATGATTGGCTGTGGGAAAGGCATCAGCGGAGGAATCGTAGAGTTCCCTGACATCCATCCACACAATCACAACACTGTTGTTTGGGAGGGAAGTGAAAGATAGACACGGTTCTAAGGCAGATGTTTTGCATGAAATGCAGCACCATAGACACACCACGTGACTTATGACCTGTACAGTGGTTCCACTCCCACCGTCCTCTCACCCTGACGTGAATCATTTTAATGTCCAGGCAGGAAGAATACCACTTCATCTGTGTTGTGTAAGCAAATTCTTCACGATGCTCCACAGGGGCCCACGCTAACGCTGTGCTCATCCCTCGCCATTACCTGACTGGCTTTTATAGGCAGTTCATCATATGCAGGGTATTGAGCTCTCGAGTCTCTGCCTGGATGTCTAGAAGTAATTAACTCTCAGCCAGGACTCCTTTTTGGCCCAGATTCAGCTTAGAAAAAAAAAACATGCAGTGAAAGGAAGCAAAGGAAGGCGGCCATTTTACATTAGATGATATTGCATCAAACATTCTTGCACTTAGTAACAGACAGGGGACATGGCTGGCTGGCAGGGCTCCATGGGGCATGTGCCAAGGATCCACTGCTGGATCCAACAAGCTGTCTAACATTTGGCCACACTGGCTCAAGACCACAGGGTGTTATTAATCTACACCCTTTTATTGATGGAACTTGTGTCTTTACAGGCTTTTTCACACCAGCAGACTAACATTTTAGTCAAGATTAAATGTAAAATAGTGATGTTTGCTGTAAAGCCGTGTTGATCGTCTTCTTTCCTCCAGGTCGTTATCCTATGTGACATGCATGGGTTCTTTCTCCTTCCTGCTGCTGGGAGCCATGTACTTTGTCATCGACATCAAACACTGGTGGGGGGGGCAGCCCTTCTTATATCCTGGTAATGTTATGTCTTTTTTTTGTTGTTGACGACAGCATGGTTGAGATCTGTGATTACTAATGCTATGCTATTTCCTTTTTAAAATTATAATAATAAATAATAATAATTAAGTTAATATAATTTCATCATTTATTTTCCATCATGGTTAAAATGATAAATGTTAATATATTTATAAATCGTGTGGATGGCTCCAACCTTTTTATTGCAATTTTTTAAGCTGGACTTTGCGAAGCATGATGTTGCCATGTTGTCATTAGAACCAGCGGTTAGGGCAGGTGTGGGTAAACGTTTTGAGTCGCGGGCCACAATTGTCCTAAAATTGAACAGAAGGAACTAAGATAAATGACATGTAAAACTCATTTACATGTTTTGTAAATTTTCTACACCAACTATTGGGGAAACAAGGGTATTGCAGGGAAAAGGCAGAAGTATAATGATAATATATATAAATTAGCTGAAGGGGCTGCATCCGGCCTCTGGGGTGTAGTTTGCCCATGCCTGGGTTAGGGTCACTCCTCATTTCACAGTAATGGTAGAGCTAGCTTGTGCTGTTTCTTATTCAACCAGTCGAAATTTGCCTCTTTTTAACCTAAGAGTATATAACATTCCAGAATGTTCCATGCACTGTTCAAATACAAATGCAATAAATAATTCAGAGTAATGTAACATTTTACTTCTTCTTTACTTGACTCCAGGGATGAACTCCATCTTGGTGTACGTTGGCCACTCTCTCCTTGGATTTTACTTTCCCTTCAGCTGGGAGATGCGTTTCCAGCAGAGTCACTGGGAGTGGCTCCTCCAAAGTCTGTGGGGAACTTCACTGTGGGTGGTGATCGCCTACCTCCTCTACAGGAAGAGCTTCTTCCTTAAGATATGAACAGAACCGTCATCTGTCCCTCGACCCCTTGGTGATGACATTGTGTTCTATTTTATTCCACTAAAAAGCAATATTCCTGCTAATGTTTTTAGTTTCTCGTGACAAAGTACTTAGCCTAAATAACAATATTCATAAAAGTAATGGAAATGGCTCTCCACATCCAGTGGAAACAAATAAAAGTCTGATAGGAAATTAGACAATTTCTCCTGCTATTTTTAGTGACGATAATAATTTTCAATAGAGTTTATGATTTCAGTGGATTGTTTTCGGTCTTTTTTGTTAGAAAATTAAGTCTGTTTTTTCAGCGGGAGGAACATTGATGTTTTGATCTTTGTAAAATCTGAATTGATAAATAAGTCACCAGGTCAGTAGAAAAAGTCAAATGTCAACTGATTATTTTGAATAAAGTTAAAACTTATTCCATCCCTGATAATGAGTTACACAACTGATCCTACCACATTAGTCACACTGTCCAATGAAAATCATGCTCACTTCACCACGCCTCATCTACATATTTAACCAAAGGTTCTCTGTATGATTATGAAGAAATCCTAATTGAAAAATACACGTCAGATGTAACACACTGGACGGGCCATTTCCATGTGTTACATATTCATCCGTGAACTCTGATTTTACAGAAGACGACCTGCTGACCTGCCGTCAGCCTGAGCAGCTGAGGTTTAATTTGATGCTTGTAGTTTAACACTGAAGACCCTGATTAAATCAAATATACTCGAGGTGCTACTTAACAAATTGAGATGAGTGATTCTATGACACACCGTGCCAGACGTTATGACTCTGTTACCATGGTCACTCCTCCCCCTGCGTTTCATTGAATGTATTTGTGTATCTACGTGTGTGTTTGTGTTAGTGAACAGAAAGGCTCTGGGGGGGGGGGGTTCAGGGTTCAACCATCTGGTGTTGGACTGCCATACTTTAACGGGGGTCAAGCTGGACTATTCACAATGGAGTGCCAATAATAGGACTGAAACCTCACACACTCAGTGTATTGGAAAATCTGGGCAATTATATAAACAGAGATTCTTCATAAAATACTAAGTAAAAAAAAGATAGATTTAAAATAATAATAATAATAATAATAATAATAATAAGGATGTGCCAGATAAGCTAGCTGATTTCCATTGTTCACCTGAGAAATGTCTTTTTTGGGGGTGAGGCTTTTTGAAGAACATTTCTGGAGCATCTGAAGACTTCTAAGTTGTCCACTCACTGTTTGTCCACTCACAAACTCCAGGGCAACAGTTTAGTTACTCCAAGGATCTGATTCTAAATGCTGACTGTGTTGTATAATAGCCTAAGGTCAGCGGGCCAAAGCATCAGGTCAGGTTATGTGTACATCATGAAATGACCATCCAGTTAATTAAATGACGCATTACATTTCTTCTCTCCCACAGTACAATTGAATTACACACTTAGAGAAGCTCTAAGAAAGTGGCACGCTGAGGTGTAGTGGTTACGGTAACTGCAAAGAAGGAAAGTTGTTTTTGGACTCCCACTAGGTGCGTCCTTCCATCACAAACAAGACTCCAATCCATTACTGCTCTTCAAAACTCTTCTACAGTGCCAGCATTGAAAACACGTAAATGCTTCTCTGTGGGCTGAAAATGAAATCAATACACGCTCACCACTGAGAACTAAAGATATCTTTGGTGTCTTCAAATGCAAGGATATATATTCTTTTTTCTTTTAGCATTTGGCTGACCCATGTACAGTAACTCCAAACACATGATGAACTCAGAACCTCTGGTCACCGTCACGCCTTGATGTGACTAAAGATCACAAAGGTCAAAACCAGAGTGTCTAGACTCCTGAGCTGATGGATATTCTGCTTACATTTCAGATTGAATTTCTGCTAATGTCATCCTGCAGTTCTGTGAACTCCTTGTTTCCATACGGCACTGTCCAAAAAAGCCTATACGGCACCACTGCACTCGCACATACAGCACGGCACTACCCTGCCGTTATTGATTCCCACCCAGCATATGTCTCTGGATACCTATAGTCTGTCATATGGAAACTTTATCCCTGATGCAATGTTCTCATGCAAACCACTCGGTGTCTTATATTCACATAACGATCTGTACTTTCTCCCCTGATACTGCAATCAGCGTCACATTGACCCCGCTGTATAGAGTAGGTGAACATCTGAGCACAGAGTGTGCTCATCAGATCGTTTATTAAAAATGCATCAACATCAGTTTCCAAATAAATACAACGTGATATCTAGAAATAAAAAAACAAATGCCAGGCATTTTCTTGGAAGATTTATGCAACAACTTAATTTGAAATTGATACAGAGTTTAAGATGAGGCTTTACTGTATGTGGTTGGCAGAGGTGGACCTTCTCAGAACAAGAAGTACAGCATTAGCCATGACTGTAAGGACACACTACCTGAAGCCATATTTCCAGGATCATATTAAAGGTTGAAATACAAATATATGGTTTGTTACAAGTTTTTCCAGAAAAACCCTCGTCTGTCCCACCACAGAACAGTGAGTGTCATGTGTTTGAGGAGTTTGCAGACTGAAATGATTTCTACATTAAAGGGTGGCGTTCTGCTCCGGCCCTCACACTGCAGCAGTTCATCACTCTTCACGTAGTCGAGCCACTGGAAGATCACACATTTTAACACAATCTACAGTAACTCACACAACAAAGAGGAGACGGGCCACACAGACTTGGACAAGAGTCAAGCAGCTGGTCCTGCACATTTCTACACACACAGAGTAGTGCATGTACTGTATAGTAGAATGTAAACTCACATGGGTTAATGTTTTACATTGCGTCAGTTCCAGTGATGGCCACCGGGGCTGACTCCATATAATTTCCATTCTAATGTCTTAGTAATTCATTCTTATTGCCGTTCTGATGGTCAGTCTAACAAAAATAACAATTTAGAAAATATCCCATACAATTGTATGATTGAAATTTGCAATTGATTTATATAACATTTTTCAGATGATATATAGATGTAACATAGATCTTTGGTGAACTTTTAAAGCACTTAAATATCATTGTATTAATACATTAACCATTCATTACTAAACCTGTATTAATGCACATGTGGACAGTATGGCACATAAACAATAGCTAGTCACTGCACATAATTACCAGTTATTGCTCATGCTAATGTTACTTTGTCTTTTTGAGTGCACAGGTTTGCTGATGACTCTGGGATGAAGACACAGACTTCATAACATCATATTTAAATCAAGTCAAATCTCAAGCTCTGGTCCAGTGGAAAAGGTGAAACAGTTCCCACAACAGAACCATGTGGAACTTCACAGAAGTGGAACCACACTTGTGAAAATAGGCAAGAGGGTAAGGTGACACCCTTTGGACTTTTCTTATTAATGATCTACGTATTGTAGCACTGAGGTGTAGTAAGGCTAGTTATGAGTCCATCTGATGAGCTTTAAAAAACAACAACTGTAGCTTTAAACGCACCATTTAGTGATAGCTGTTAATAATTTCCCCTGCAGAGTGTTAATGAGATGCCTGACCGCCTGTTAAATTATGCTCCTGAATTTCCTGTAAAATGCTGCTGCTGCTGCTGCTGCGGAAGCAGTGGAGCAGTGAGTGGACCTCCTCCTCTTTCTCCTCCTCCTCCTCCTTCCTCTGACCCTCAGGCTCAGTCCAGCAGCAGGAGCAGGAGCCAGTGGAGCCTGACACAGCCTCCTGTCTGTCTGTCTGCCTGCCTGCCTGTCTGTCTGTCTGTCTCTGTCTGTCTGCCCATCTGTCTGTCTGTCTCTCAGTGGGACACTAAGGAGCGGGACTTGATCCGTCCGCACATCCGCGCACACGGGGACGCACGCTGGTTTATACTGTGCTCTTCTTTGTTGCTGTGGTTTGATTGGTGTATTTTCCTTCGACTGGACTTTTATTTTTTCTTTTAAAATCCTCTTTCCATTCAGAAACTTTCACCTATGGTTCGCGAAAATGGGGCGAAGTTGTGGTTTCTCTCGTGGAAACGTCGCCGTGCTGCTGCTGCTGTTCCTTGAAGGTAAGAAACCGATGATCTTATTCTGAGGATTCAACAGTTTCAAACCACCTGCACCGTGTGGAGCAGGTTCTTTAACGCTGACAGCTCTGCTTAGGTAGATGTAGGAAAAAAGTTCATTCTGGAAAAAAAGAAAGAAAAACGTTTTATTTTATAGGAAATGGGAAAACCAAAGTAGAACGCTGAGCTGAAGTGAGTCGTTGATTATTTAATTAATTGTGATTTGATATTTGTAGTTTATTTTTTATTTTATTTAATGAATAATCTCTGATTTCTGCTTCTTTAATCTGAACATTTTATGTTTTGGGTTGGGGTTTTTTTATTATTCCGACAACAGTAAACAAAAACCTTTGTGGTCTTTGAAACAACTAATGATCCTAATTTCCATTTTTGCATTACATTTAAAGTTTGTCAATGCAAAAATATGATTAAATATTTGATTATTGATTGTAAAAATGTTTCTGCTTCATAAAACCATCAAGGAAACTCGTGCTTTTTTTTGTCAAACCAACCAATTGTTGGCGTTCAAAAGGGCTTGCAGCAACTGTTTGGTCTTGATAGCAAATTGTTCAGGTTAGGTGTGTGTTAAGTGTTGGTTTTTCTGTACTTGTCCATATACTGTAGAAACTGTGTTATTCCAGACCATATGAACCACATCTGAGGTCACAGGGGAAAAAAACTCAAATGAATTGAATGGCTGTAAAATGGATGAGTCGCTGCAGGTTCACTCTTTCTTTCTGAGAAATGTCATGAAAACACAGTGTATATATATAACCAGCAGCATTTCCCGCTGTAGAAAGTGATACTAGCGTTGTGCTGCTGCAGGCTGTTATGTGAGGCATGGCACAGGAGACTGAGAGTCAAACTAATACGGCCGTATATCATAATATTATAATCCCGTTCACAATCCCAGAGCCCAACTGTACCAACACTGTCCTGCACAGACAGACTATATTTAAAATGTCTGTCAGTGCTCAGGAGTGTGCAACAAAGCTCACAGTCAGGTTGATGCTCGGACAAATATAGGCCATTGTTTGGAATTCCTCACTTGTTTTTGGACTTAAACCTCGGCTCTTAGCAAAGGTTACCAGCAGAACCTTCACACTCCTGATGAATTCACACTGTTTTGTGGGATAGTGTGTGTTTTTCCATGAGGAATGACACATCGACACTGTCTTCTACACAACAGGCTCTAACGAAACTTCCCAAGAGAGCATTTTCCTTGAGTTGTAAAAATGATTAATGAAAATGTTAAGGTGTCGCAGTTGTGCTTAACGTTGTGTGATTATTTTTCATTATGACAGACAATAGCACTAAGAGAGGTAGATTTACAGCTCTGGCTCCAGGGTCCTACTGCACTTTACATACATTTCCATGCTGCATTTAATGACTATTTTCACAATAGATAATTCAGACATTTTTTGTCCCCGATCCCCAACATTGTGTCCAGTCAATGCCGAATAATGTGAAATGTGACTTTCTGAAACTCAAAAAGATTATATTCTACAATCACTGATGAGCAGATTTAATGAAATTTAATTTAATTTGATAAGGAACCGGGAAAACTGAACAGACACAAGATGGAAGCTGGTTGGTGGAATCAGTGGTCAGAAATAGTTAATTACCAATTCAGTAGTCAAAGATTAATCGACCTACAGAGCTGCCTTTAGATTTCTAGAACATTGAGAGTGCCTCCTTCTGGAGTTGGGCAAAAAAAAAAATGGGTAGTTTAATTTAAAATCAAATTCAAATTAAAATGCACAATTAATTAATTGTGTGAGCTTCGATTACATTTACCATAAAGCAGACTGCCTCTGCTACAGAAACATCCAGTGAGTTTTGATTGTCTTACCTACTAGATTTATTATTCTCATTATAAAATAAACAAAATAAATAATTATTTCTAATTTTCAATTATGTTTTGTTTATAATAAATATTTAAAAAGCAACTGCACACGTCCTGCCATAACCTCTTGTACCACCATGCTTCCACGTACCCCTGATTGGAAACAAATGTTGCGTAGGACAAAAAAGACATACCAAAACCATTCTAATTTACCCCCTGTTTGTCCATCTTTATTTCTGTCAGTGGAGAAGACATCCTAATGTTTACAGAAGGACACAGTTCAATTTCATACGTCAGTTGTTCAGGATGGTAATTAAACCGGTGCTGAAATCCAAACCATGCTTTAAGCGCAGTGGCCGTCAACCTGACTGTTTGTTGGAACAAAAGACAGCGACTGGTTGAAAGAGGTGAAGACGCGTGTTGCCGGCAGGTGTGCAGCAGCTGCTCCTGTCTCTGGACAAACACGGGCTGTTTGTCTTCTAGGGGAAAATACTGGCTGTTGTACCAGTGCACACACTGGTCAGATCGCAGCTCAGACGTTAACTGGCCTCACAATGACAAATCGGATTGATTTCCTTCGTCATGTTCTATCTTAACTTTTGACTGATGTTCTGACTGCTGATGTCACAACCAGTAAGAAATATTTCCTCTGAGATATTTACTGCTAACCTTTAGCATTCATCCAGAGAAGAAATAGCAAAATAACATTTTTATGTAACTGCTCTGTAAAGTCTACAAAAATGCCCCATAAATATCATTTTAGGGTGTTGAACATTTAACTTCTGAAGGTCATTTTTAACTCATTGACCCAAAAACATTGGACACACCTAGGCCCAGGCCACAGCTTTAAGCCTTTCCTGTTTGTTGTAATGAGTGAACGTTAATTTAAGGAACAGAACAGTTACAGCTCTCTGGTTATCGATAGGTTCAGTTTTTCTTGCTGAGCTAATCAAACAAAGGAAAGTGGCTAGCACTGTCGTCAGCATTTTTAAATGTGGCCACAACATCGCCCTGCACTTAGCATTGGGTCGAAGAAGCAAAGCAGGTGAAAACATTTACACTAAATAATGCTTTTTTTCAGTTGTTAGTCTTCTGGTGGTGGACTTCATGAAACCAGTAGATTTAACGATGTGTGCAGTTTGACGTCCGCCTTCATGACTCAAACCGATAAAAGCCTTTACCGAAATTAACCAAGTCATCTTCACAAACATTTGTGGGTAATCCATCACTTCCACCAGAGTAGAGGCAGATGTTTTCACATAAAAGCATTGACCGGTTTATCTTCTGCCGTGACCTTGCTACTGTATCTTTGACCCTTCCTCGGCCTTTGACCTCTGAAACCTTAACCAAGCGGTAACCCTCAGCGATGTCCTCCCTTCATCCCAGAGGAAGGGGAGGCTGTCGCCTCCTCAGCTGCTCCTCCTTGCACGACAGCAGTGATTTTCATCAGTATCTTCACTCTGTAGTAAATCTGTTTGATATATGCAGCGATTTGATTTAGCTCTTTACTACATTATATGATATAGTGACGCTTCTGTCCGGTGCTGCCTATGGAATTCTCATAAATCCTCTCAACATTCCTCTCGTTGTCACTGCCTCTCTCTCAGTGTAATTGGAAACACAACAATAAAATGTGTTTGCTGGAGAGTTTGCATTTCCTGATTAAATATTTGTTTACACTACCGTGTTTGCTGGAGAGTTTGCATTTCCTGTAAATGTGTGACGAGGAAGTTCCTGTAAATTTTATATTCTAATGCAAACCTGAACGGCATCAGAAGCCAAAAAACAGAACCCATGAACCCTCCAGCAATGTCACAATAAGACGGAGCAAATCAACATGACAATGAGCAGCTACTGTATGTCATTTGAATGTTCCATTTTATATTTTCACTGTTAATTCTCTTTTTTTCTGCCTCGTATCAATTTAATTTAGTTTCGTTTTATTGCTTTTGTCTTCCCAATGAAAAACATTTAGAAACATTTTCATGTTCAATGTTTTGCTAATAACTGTCGGACCGTGTAATTCCACTGTTGCCTCAACTTTTTAAAATTAGCATCACTGACTGACTTTAAAAATTGAATAACCGTCTGCAGACAGGAGCCCTGCTTTATGGGACACCACACGATCTATCATCCTTGGCAAAGAGTCCAACTCTTCCCCAACTCGGACTCTCAGCCTACCTGTCAAAGCTCTCTCCCTCATCCTTTAGTCAGTTCAGGGTCACACTTCCCTCTCATGGTTGGCTTGAATCTAATTTGCTGTGTTGAAAGGACAAGGCGACATTGATTGAAATTTCGCCCTTGGGGCATTTAGTCCTCTTGTTTCACATGGCCGTTAACAAGTTTTTTTCCAGTCTCCTGGACTCGCACGTGGAATTCACAACAATCAGTGACTAATATATTGTGTCATTTGCTTTTTCTGGGTTTTTTAAGTTAAACTTATTTGAAAATCATCACTCTACATTTTCAGATTTTCTATAAACCCACGGAGAGGGCGCTCCTTCCTGCCCCTCCTGCTCCTCCTCTAATACCCACACCCTCCACTACTCCCCGTCCATTTGTTCGACACTTCACTTTAGGTTGAGGTGCATAAACACGCTGGAAATAATTTTCTACCACGTTCCTCCACCTGCCGGTGCCAGACTCTCTGAAAGCTTCACTTCCATTTGCGGAGGAAGATCAGCGCCCTCCATCCTCTGCCATAAAACATCAGCCCCTCCCACTCCCCCCATAATACGATCCATCATCCAGGGTAAAACTGATGTAGTGACACGCAAAATAACACTGCATAGAGAGACGACGTGTAACAACAATTACCTCGTGTCTGAGCAGTGGTCTGCTTTCAGTTTAGTGACTGTTTTTGTAGAATAAAGTAGGAATTTTGTTTTTACATGTTTTCACCTTTATTAAACCAGGACCTTCCCTGAGGGAAAAAAACTATGTTTTTCAATAAAGACCTGGCCAACACGGCTCACCCTTAAAACAATAAAGATCTTTAAATACAATAAAAACATGCAACGGAAAGGAGAAAAAAAAAGAAACTTTGTTTTAAACAACACAGATATGCATTCTGAATAAAGTTTAGTTTAATGTAAACCAGATGAGACCAGATTAAAAGAAAAATATTGACAGTTTGGAGTTACAGAGTTATGGCTCC